TCATCGGTAACCCTGTTACCACCATCCATAAAGAATATTATAGTTAATATCTGATCTCCGCCTCTTTCCCAGAGAGAAGAACGGGCAAGAGAGAGAGAGAGAGAGAGAGAGAGATTTCAGGAAATTAGCAGATGAAAATGGAGTTTGTAGAAAGAGAAAGCGGAAGGGAGAGTGTGTTGTTTAAAATTAGAGGCTGGCTGCGTTGGTCAGGGGAGATGCATGTACCACGGCTGCTTAAAGTTCAACTTAACATAGATGTATATGGGTGTGTTATTACGTAAATAAATAAATTAAGATAATATGATAGCTTACGAAAATATTACATTACCATTTAAACATAATTATTTAAATTAAAATTATACTATTGCCACAATAGGATCTTAGTTTTGATAGCAACAAATCATAAATAGGAATTCCTTTAATTTAATTTAATTGGAGATTTAGTATTTTATTTTATTTTCTAAATATGAATTTCTTTATCTAGTCATCAGACTAATTAATTGAATAAATAAATATTAACAAATAAATTAGATATAAAATTCAAATTCTTTAAAGGTGATATATTTTTTTTTCTGTAAATTTTTTAATTTCAAAATAGGTATTAAAATATTGGTACAAACATATATGTTTTTTTTATAAAAAAAAAAATGCGATTAATTCTAGAACTATGATTGGTAATTATTTTTGTAATTATTTTATTAATATAGAATATGTGTTTAATTAATATCAGGGTAAATGAACAGCTCCCCAATACCTGATTCAGATTCTTGAATGAGCCAGAAAAAAATTGTAGTTTAGTGGTTCAAAAGATTCTACACACTCCAGATGGAGAGTTTAATGATAATGCTGAAATTACCACCTAAAGTACTCAACCATTGTTTTTTTCTTTTTGTCCAGTTTCTCCCACTATACAGCATAAAGAATATGTTACAATTGAATTATTTTGAATGGTTTTTTTTTTTTTTTTTTTTTTTAATTGAGAAAATCATTTCCTCCCAAATTAAATTCTGAAAAATTAACTGTAAATTTTCCTGCTCAAAATTATGGA